TTTGATTTCATCAAAAATTTAATTATTGGGGTTCTTTGATATGCCAAATCTAACCGTGTATTTAGATTTTTAATTTTGGGTCCCGTTTTTTTAAATTTGTCTACATTAAGGTCCAAAGGTTCCAAAATTAAACTTAGTTTGATTTTAACAAAAATTGAATTCTTGGGGTTCTTTGATATGCTGAATCTAAACATGTGTTTAGATTTTTGATTATGGGCCCAGTTTTCAAGTTGGTCCAAGTTGGGGTCCAAAATAAAACTTTGTTTGATTTCAACAAAAATTGAATATATGGGGTTCTTTGATATGCTGAATCTAAACATATATTTAGATTTTAGATTTTTGGCCCAGTTTTTAAGTTGGTCCAAACTGGGGTCCAAATTTAAACTTTGTTTGATTTCAACAAAAATTGAATATATGGGGTTCTTTGATATGCTGAATCTAACCATGTATTTAGATTTGTTATTTGTGGGCCCGCTATCAAATTGGTTCATATTGAGGTCAAAAGGGTCCAAAATTAAACTTCTTTTGATTTCATCAAAAATTTAAATATTGGGGTTCTTTGATATGCCAAATCTAACCGTGTATTTAGATTTTTAATTTTGGGTCCCGTTTTTTAAATTGGTCTACATTAAGGTCCAAAGGGTCCAAAATTAAACTTAGTTTGATTTTAACAAAAATTGAATTTTTGGGGTTCTTTGATATGCTGAATCTAAACATGTGTTTAGATTTTTGATTATGGGCCCAGTTTTCAAGTTGGTCCAAGTTGGGGTCCAAAATTAAACTTTGTTTGATTTCAACAAAAATTGAATATATGGGGTTCTTTGATATGCTGAATCTAAACATGTATTTAGATTTTAGATTTTTGGCCCAGTTTTCAAGTTGGTCCAAATTGGGGTCCAAAATTAAACTTTTGTTTGATTTCAACAAAAATTGAATATATGGGGTTTTTTGATATGCTGAATCTTACCATGTATTTAGATTTTTTATTTGTGGGCCCGCTATCAAATTGGTTCATATTGAGGTCAAAAGGGTCCAAAATTAAACTTTGTTTGATTTCATCAAAAATTGAATTATTGGGGTTCTTTGATATGCCAAATCTAACCGTGTTTTTAGATTTTTAATTTTGGGTCCCGTTTTTTAAATTGGTCTACATTAAGGTCCAAAGGGTCCAAAATTAAACTTAGTTTGATTTTAACAAAAATTGAATTCTTGGGGTACTTTGATATGCTGAATCTAAACATGTGTTTAGATTTTTGATTATGGGACCAGTTTTCAAGTTTGTCCAAGTTGGGGTCCAAAATTAAACTTTGTTTGATTTCAACAAAAATTGAATATATGGGGTTCTTTGATATGCTGAATCTAACCATGTATTTTGATTTTGGACATTGGACCATAATAGGTAAATTAAAAAAATTGAAGTTCTTAGACCACATTCTTTCTGTGTCAGAAACCTATGCTGTGTCAAATATTTAATCACAATCCAAATTCAGAGCTGTATCAAGCTTGAATGTTGTGTCCATACTTGCCCCAACTGTTCAGGGTTCGACCTCTGCGGTCGTATCAAGCTGCGCCCAGCGAAGCATTTTATTTGCTTTTGGCATTCCTTATGTAGGTGGGTCCAGAGATGCAATTCGGACACATGAGGTTTTATAGTGTTGTTTCATTTTGTAAACCCTTGTATTTATATTTTCCTTTTTTGTATTTTATCGGGAAAATGTATATGTCATTATGTAAGGAGCCCCTTAAGTGCCAAGCAAATAGAAATATTTTCGTTTGCCGGCGATTTAATCTGGTGCGCACTTGTTTTTCAAACAAGTGCGCACCAGATTTAATTTCGTAGGACATTTGGAAACTGCCGCGCACAACTTTCAAAAACTGGTGAAAACGACTTTATAACTGGTGCACACGACTTTCAAACTAGTGCTCGCACGAGTTTCAAAGTTGTGCGAACCAGTGCTTGGAAGTCATGCGCACCATTTCGAAAGTCGTGCACACAATTTTGAAATGTCTGCGCGCCAGTTTGAAAGTCATGCGCACCAGTTTGAAAGTCATGCGCACAAGTTTGAAAGTCGTGCACACGAGCTGAAAGGGCGTGCGCACTTGACAGTTTCTAAGTCACCCGCACGATTTTTCAAACTGGTGCGCACCAGATGCAATCTCCGGCAAACGAAAATATTTATATTTACATGACACTTAAGGTGCTCCGTATTATGCTTTACTACACTGAGGCTGCATTATCTACTAAAAAACTTTTTTTAGGCGTCTTTGTATGATTTAATTGTGAGTGCCACGTTAACTAATTATGTCTGTATTATTTGCTCACCCAATTTGACAATATTACGGAACATTAAATAATTGTCATACATTTGAGCATATAAGCTGGCTAGAAAACCAGATTTAACACACCATTTTCTTAGAAAAATGCCTGTGCCAAGTCAGGAATATGACAGTTGTTTTCCTGCTGGTTTTTTACAATTTTTACAAACATTAACGGAAGGATCTTCGTTTTATAGATTTTATAAAAAAAAAATTAATGGAAATCAGACGAGACAATCTTAACTTTTCAAATGACATAAAACTTATGCAGGACGGACAGACGGACTGATATTGGTATAAGAAAACTAGTCGGCGTGGTATTATCAAATAATCAGATCCAATGGCATTGAAACCATCATAGCCCTAAACAAAAGTGAAGCGGAATAAGTCATGCAAATCCAATCTTTTGATATACCAATTACAAATATAAATTATCATTTGTTCAAAGAAAGATTTTATCGTTTTCGTGGATTTTTTGCAATAACGAATAAACGACAACAGATCTTTCACGATCCTTTTCACGATCATTCAAAAATGCGGTACCCGATCTTTCACGATCCGAAATATCAAATTTTTACAAATATTACCCTTTTTGCAAAGTTTCTAATTAAACTTCATTTGTAAATCAAAATAACTTTAATTTAAGAGCTATTTTAAACAGTAATATTGAACGATAATCGTAAGAGAAAAGTAGTTTATGCTTTAAAAATTTGAAAAAATCATGTTTTTTTTACATTTTTATTTCTCTGAAATTTCGAAGAGCAATCTGCCCTTCAGTGTAGTTTTGTTAAAACGGTGTACTGTTAAGCCTTGATTTTTCTCGGATACTGATCATAATGTTGAACCATTTTGACAGACAGTTTTATTTTTCCAATATTTGTTATTACATTTGATTGATTTAGATTATTTACTGAAGTTGCATGTGTCTTCTCGATAAGATTTTCTTCACGATCCTATACCAGATCTTTCACGATCCAATCGCAATACTTGATCAGCGTTACTTATTCTTTCACGATCATTTTTCTCGACATACCGAATGACAGCCGTGTAATGAACTGTTGATATAAAACAAAGTAAAGTTTCAATTATGTCTGCAAGTTCAAATATGGCTGTGGATGATACCTTGCAGGTCCTGGTGATTTTGATGTATCTATAGTTAATTTATATTTTTTTACTTGAAATCTTCTTCGCTATGGATGCTTCCGCATACTTTATATTCTATCCAATTCTACCGTCTTCACCTGCTTCCTTCGTAAATACACTTGTGAAAAACTATGCCGAAGCTTTGTCTTCATCGTTAATTGGCATACACGTATGATTTTACCATCTCTTTTGTCATGTAACTAAGATATGCCGCTTTTAGATTTTCATATATGACCAAATTTGTTTGCAGTTTGTTTCAACTTACTAAGCTATGTGTATTTCTCATGATTTTTAAAATCAATTGTGATTATTGATTTGGTTTAAGACATACACATGGAGAACTTTATTTGAATTTGGCATAGTATAAAACATATAAACCTTAGCTCTGGTGAGCTCTTTGCAGAATATAAAAACATATACTAGTTAAACAAGACAAACAAAAAAAGTATTATGGACCTATACAAAACATGTAACTCAGCGAATACAGGCATGCATCAACTAAAATAAACAAATTTCTAGCAAGCTTATATATATAAAAATTGAGGCAGAACTATCTGATACTGAATCTCAAGATTGTTTCTAGCTTTGGTATATTCCCAAAAACTATTATTGTCTCTTTTGCTCGAATACTTCTTTCATACCGTTGTCACAGTTTCTTCCAAGTGACCCTTCTGGCTTCTATACCAGTTTAGAGGTTCATTATTATATTTCTTCCTCGAAACCTTCTTTTTGTATACATTTATTAATTGCTACTGGCAATCTTTCCATTAACGAACTGACCATTTCTTCTGTTCCTTTATCTTCTTGCAGTTCTTTCCAGTTCAGATTTTTTAAATCTTGAAGTCTGCTTTAAAGCAGAGACATACAATAAAAGTCTCTGTTTAAAGTAATTAAACGTTTCAGTTTCAGACATGTCATATTGAACATAACATCCGCAATACTAAAAAACCAAAACGTTATGTTCAGTTTAACCCACTAGTTGTGTGATTTATGTGATCACTATACAACTAAAAGTGTATTCCTCCCCAACCAAACACACACACACACACAAAAAAGTATCGTTTCTCATAAAAATCAGACTCCCTCCATCGTAAGTATGATCGTTGACCACCGTTAACGTTGCGGATCGGCAGGCCATGATTTTGAAAAAGGGGAACGGGGGCACTAAGGCAACATTTAAGGAACAGGACTTGTAAAAAGTCTATGCATTAACCATATATGTATAGAGTATGGGGCCCGGACCACTCGTCACCCTTAAATCCGCCACTGATAATCATATTCACCGGTTAACTTTTATCTCGTAAACATTCTATACTAATATAATATATCACAGTATAATCTGTGTAGTATCGTCTATTCTAGAAGGCCCGATGCCTATTATTGTTTATGTGTATTAAAATAAAAAGGATTATTTCTTTATAAGTTAGTTAAATTTTATTTCATTCTTTTGTAGATTACATTTAATAAGTAATGAAAAGCTTGTCATGCTGCGACCGAAAAGTCAGGTCACTGACCGTAACAGATTCCGAGTTTGAGATAGTTTCCGTCACCGCTCCCAGAATTAGTCATTGTACAAAATGGCATCTATTTTTTGGAATGAATGGTTTTGGCTCCCAGAAGGAGTAACGTGGAACGATTTAAATAGCGAAGAGAGTGAGAAATATCAACCACAAGTGAAAGATTTAAGAATAGTACTATATCTAGCCATTTTTGTGTTCCTAATACGAAAAATACTCGAACGGTAAGTGGCGTGATCTTCAGTTGCACAGCGCAAGTCCAATGTCTGCATCTTTTGTTGAATGAAATTATCATTCATACATATTATTTTTCAGTTGTGGGAAATATATACAAGGGTGTGTATGAAATTCCACTTATATTGATTTTTTGTAAACTGTTAAAAGAAGAAAATGCAAATAAAAAATGACTCGTACATGTGTATCAGAAAAGAATATAGATAAAAAAAACAAGAACAAAAACACCCATTGACATTTAAAACACATCATCCAAATGTTTTGGAAAAAGGTTTTAACAGCTACCCCAAAGGGCTCAGATATATATCACAAACATTTGGTTCTGTAAACAGCTGATTAATCCAGATCCCTTTTTGGGATTGCCTGTCTGGGGCGATTTTCAGACTGGCCGAACACACATGTTCTCCTCTGAAACTATTGGACCAAATATAACCAAACTTTAGGGTATCTAGCTATAGTTTTTAAAATGTGTCGGATGACTCTGCTTGCCAACCAACATGGCCACCATGGCTAAAAATAGAAAAGGAGTAAAATGCAAGTTTGGTCAATTATGTTGAAAACCACTATACCTGTATATTGTCTCTTTACCCAAAACTGTCATCTAATAGGAGTTATTGCCCTTAAATGACGATTTTTACCAATTTTATGCAATATTGCTTAATATCTTAAAAACTATAATAGATGGAGAGAAACTTCAAAGAGCAAAAATGATCAGCAAGACAAGATCTACAATTAAGTCAAACACTGCTGAAATCTTCAGACAACTCTTTATTAGAGTTTTTGCCCTTTAATGACAATTTTTATCGTTTGTTTTGCGTTTTTGCCGTAAACATGTTTCTTAAATAATATAATAGACTAGAACACACCCACGACATCGGGTGTCCGTGACTTATTTTAAGTACCTTTGCTTATTTTTAGCCTGTATTTTTAGTATTCATATTGTCATCTGATAAAGTCATGCTGATTATAAGGTTTTCTCTGCTTTCAAAATCTTTCTGTTTGAACCTGTCTCGATTTTCATTATACAACTGGAAACTACATGTGACATATACTATTGGTATCATTATCTGATTCGACCCAGAACTTGTTAATTAGTCCCCTACTGAAGGAGTCAAAGGGGACTTTAGGTTTCCACTCTATCTGTCTGGCCATCTGTCAGTCCGACAAATCAGTATTCCACACTTTTTTTCTTCATGCTTAAAGATATTGATTTGATATTTGGTATATAGTTTTATCATGACTAGTTACAGATCAAGTTCGAATTGTGTTCCAGTCTGATGATTTTGTGCGGAGTTATAGTCTTTGGACTTAAAAAATTCACGCAAGTAATCAGTTTTTGCACTTTTTTTTGTCATGCTTAAAAATATTAATTTGATATTTGGTATATGGTTTTATCGTGACTAGCTATATAGTTATAGATCAAGTTCAAATTTTGTTCCAGTCTGATGATTTTGAGCAGAGTTGTGGTACTTGGACTTAAAAAAATTCAAGAAAGTAAAGTTTTCCGCATTTTTTTTCAATATGCTTGAAGATATTGATTGGATATTTGGTATATAGTTTTACCATGACAAGTTACAGATCAAGTTCAAATTTGGTTCAGTTAGGATGATTTTGTTTGGCAGAGTTATGGTCCTTGGACTTAGAAATTTCACTCAAATAATCTGTTAACCACACTTTTTATACGACCGCAAAAATTAAAAATTTTTTGGTCGTATATTGGTATCACGTTGTCGTCGTCAGCCTCTTCCGAAGACAAATGGTTTCCGGATAATAACTTTAGTATAAGTAAATAGAAATCAATAAAGTTTTAACACAAGGTTTATAACCACTAAAGGAAAGTTGGGATTGATTTTGGGGGTTATTGTCCCAACTGTTTAGGAATTAGGGGCCAAAAAAGGGGCCCAAATAAGCATTTTTGTAGTTTCCAGACAATAACTTGTGTTAAAGTGTATGAATCTCTCTGAAATTATACCACAAACTTCCATACAACAAAGGGATGGTTAGGATTGACTTTGGGGGGTTATGGCTCAAACCATTTAGTAATTAGGGGCAAAAAAAGGGGGAAAAACAAGGGTTTTTCTGGTTAAAGGACAATTGAGACAATTTAAAAGCAGCGTAAGGAGGTAATCCAATTCAAATTAAAGAACACTGTTTGAATACCTCCCTTGCACTGCTTGTAAATTATGTATTAAGAAATTATGATTGTCTTGAGGTGATTAGCTGTCAATTTATTTTTAGCAGTTACTATTAATTAATATTAAATTTAGCCATGACTATGTATGTCATTTTATATTTTGAAACTTTTATGATGTATTTAAATGGGTAATTTTGGTTGCAAACTGCATTAGAAATTTGAATTGAGATACTGACCATATCTTGAGGGAAAGAATTTTTTTGGGGAATAAAGGAAAGGGGGGAGGTGAAAAAAATTGGAGGGGGGACAATTTTTCTCATTTCAGATTTCAGAAATTAAAAGAAAATTTCTTCAAATATTTTTTTGGGGGGTTAATATTCAACAGCATAGTATATTGCACAAAAGCAAAAAACCAGGGTAAAATAAATTTTTTTTGGTAGGGGGGGGGGGGGTCAATTCACAACAGCATAGTGTATTGCACAAAAGCAATAAATTGAATATAAATTCAAATCATATAACCAATTTGAAGTTCTTTGACTACAGTTATTCTGTGTCAGAAACCTATTATGTGTCAAAAATTTAGTTACAATCCAAATTCAGCCCTGTATCAAGCGTGAATATTGTGTCCATTTTGGCCCAACTTTTCAGGGTTGGACATCTGCGGTCGTATCCAGCTGCGCTCAGGGAAGCAATTTATTTTTGTTATGCTTAAACATGTTGAAGATATTGATTTGATATTTGTTATAAAGTTTACACCATAACAAGTTATAGATCAAGTTAGCATTTTGTTCAAGTACAATGGATTTTTAACCGGTAGGGGACTATGTATTGCCATGCAATACTCTCGGAATGCTTGTTATTGGTAATATTAATTATGTGGATTTTCAAACAAAAGGGCCTGGAATGGTGTAATTTTTAATCAACACCATTGTCCTATATTATTTATATATTATTAACAAGTTGAATTCTTTGATTCATTGTTTTTTTTCATCATGCCGGCTAACAAATTGGAAAGTATACGTACCTTTGCCTTATTTTTTGCCTGGACTTTTAGTATTCATATTGCCATCTGATAAAGTCATGTTGATTATAAGGTACACAGTTTTCTCTGTTTCAAAACCTTTCTGTTTGAACCTGTCCTGGTTTTTGTCGAGCCAAAAAAAGTCGCAGAAAGCTCTACATAGGGATAGTGATATGGCAGCGGCGTTAGCTAACTTCTTAAAAGCTTTATATTTTAGAAGCTAGAAGACCTGGATGCTTCATACTTTGTATATAGATGCCTTATGTTACGAAGTTTCCGTCTGTTATATGTCCATTGTCCTTGACCTAATTTTCATGGTTCAGTGACTACTTGAAAAAAAAGTCATTTTTTTTGGTAATGTTGATTTCTTTCTTATTATGAGTAATAGGATAACTATATTTAGTATGTGCGTACCTTGCAAGGTCCTCATGCCCGTCAGACAATTTTCATTTGACCTCGACCTCATTTAATGGATCGGTGAACAAGGTTAAGTTTTCGTGGTCAAGTCCATATATCAGATACTATAAGCAGTAGGTCTACTGTATTTCTATATTTGGTATATGGAATGATTGTAAGGTGTACATGTCCAACTGGTAGGTGCAGTGTTCTCCCTAGGCCCTTAAAGGACCGCGGGCCCGCGATGTATAATTTTCTACCGTGGTGGTATCGTTCTTGCCGCGATGTATAATTTTTCTCCGTGGTGCTAAAATTTTCGGGAAAAAAATTGTAAATCGGTAAAGTTTTAAACGACTTGTTAAACCTTTTCCGTGGGTATAAAATTTCAGATGAAAATTGACCAGTTCAAACCAGTTCAATCCAGTTCTTACAACTAGATTGTTTACACCACGTGATCGATTTACCTTTTGAGGTTAACCTTGATGATTGGATTTAATCGATGTACATGATTCTTTTGTGTTTTAATTAATAAAGAGATCATAATTAATTATCACACTTGTGAGGGACAAGCAGACATTTGTTAAATAACTCTATCACTCCAGCCTTTGGTCATAAATAATTTGCGTATTTTAAACATGTTGGAGTTACTTCCCCTGATTTAGCTTATTACAAATAAGTGCTCCTAATATATTATCTATCATTGAAAATAGAAATAAAGTACAAATTGAATGCAAAATTATATAAGAATGTTACTTTAAGGATAAAAACTTTCTTTGAACATACCAACAAAAATATATTGCAAATTATTTTTGATAATCATACTTTCATTAATGCACAGACATATTATAAAAAATAGGTAGTAGTTTCCAATTGGTAACTGAAACTAGTCCAAGTGTTTAGACACTGATTGGAACTGAGCTAGATATGATACATGGGTGCACAGATATATGATATAAATTTACTCTTCATGTCTGTCTACCAAGTAACACAATAATGATTATAATATTAATTGTATTGTTGTTTAAAAGAATCATGTCAAGTAAAGCTGTGGAAAATAGTTTTTAAATTACTAAAGGTTCTGCATTAAAATTTAATCTTGTTTAAATTTAATTGTTATGGTGTAATCTAACAAAAATGGGGAATGTGTAGTGTAACTACAAGTATCAGGACAAATTGGCTTGATCAAAATATAAAAAGTGACTTTAGTTTAAAGACTAAGAGTGCTTTCTTTTATTTATTCTTAAAAGAAATTAAAGTATACAAACTGTTTATTGATTTACTTCTTTTTTTACCAGTAATTTTTTGACCCAAAGTCTACATAATACAGTAAACAAAACAAAGACAAAAAGGTAATGACACAAAAACTAACAAGAAAAAAAAAAGCGATGCAACGCGACACAACATATTGTACAAATCATTTTGACACGCGTTACCCTGGT